TTGTTTTCTGTAGTAGTAAAATCGTTGCGCCTAGCGTGGATAAGTCGGTTATTAAGCAGCAGCACCGACTCGTGGAAAGCAATTCCAAATTATTATTTCAATACTTATGGAGGATTAAAATTCCTTCTTAAATGCAACTATAATGCCGCCTCCATAAATAATGGTTTACCTACTTTCTATCGGGAGCTTTTACAATATTTTCAAGAGTTTAAAGATAAGACGAAAATATTTTCGTATGACAAATTCCTGCTATGGAATAACGAGGAAATAACTATTGATAAAAATACGCTTTTCTGGAAATCTTGGTTTAAGAAGAACATCCTCTCTATACAAGATATCCTAAATGCTGATAGAAACTTTCTTACATTCCAACAATTTCAAAATAAGTTCAACATAAAAACAAATTATATCCACTACTTCCAACTCATAGCAGCTATTCCAACTGACTTGAAGAAAAAAGCCAGGGAATGTGAAGCTCTCTTGCACGAGCTGCTGAACACGACTAGGATATCTTTGTTTCCTGGAAGCAATCTCGTAGATTTGGCACACATGCGCTGCAAATGCTACTATAAAATACTTAACAAAAGCCCCACAGTAGAACCAACGGCATCAAAACCTGGAAAGTCAATTTTGCCGATACTCATAAAGAATGGAAAAACAAATTTTCTTTTGTATATCAATCAACGAGAGACAAAAAGTTAAGACAGTTTTCATTTAGATTATTGCATACAATTATAGCAACCAAAAAAGAACTGCACAAATTTCGATTAACTGATGATTCAACTTGTACTTATTGCCCTAATTCAGATTCAATAGAGCATACTTTTCTGGATTGCTCCGAGACAAAATCTTTTTATTACGAAGCGTTAAGGTGGTTTAACCGCGTAAACGAGACCGAAATTGAACTTTCTAACGAGTAAATTACCTTTAATGAAATACCCGACTTTCATCAATTATCAGAATACCCAAGACGCAGACTACACTTATTTGTTATTCTTTTGAAAGAGTATGTCCACAGTTGTAAATGTCTTGAGAAAAAACCGATTTCGAAAGAATTCCAAAATAAAATGTTGATGCAATGGCAAATAGAGAAATGTGCTCTTCACTAATTTTGCTTCTCTCCTTCGAAAAATCAATACTTTAAAAGGAGGTAAAGACTCGAAGCGATATATCTATAGCTATACGTAAGCTCTACTGTAATAATGTAGATTGTAAGTAACTCGTAGGTGCTTTTTGATTGATATTTTGTAATTTTTTTTCTTTTTTACTTGTTTTTTCCTTTCTTTTATTCCTCTATTCTGTATTGTACTGTATTGTATTTTTTTTCTTCTTATCTGTTTCACGTTTTTTGTATTAGCCAATGTAATGTAAATTGTATCTATATGAGTGTGCATTGAAAAAAAATACTCTTGAAATGTTTTAGAAATACAATCAGCCTTACTTGATTTGCCTCTGACTGAATGAATATAGAATAAAAACAAGTGAAATAGGGGCCACTTACTGTATAACAGTTTCTTTTCTTGCATCTGCTGAATAAAATCAAATACCATCATACATCATAGTCCAAATTACAAAAAAACAATAAAAACAAACAATAAAAACAAACAAACGAACAAATTACTTTTAGTTTTTCAGCAGGATTAAAGTTTGGGGTGATAGAAAAGTTAAAGCCAGGCTGTTAACTTATTTATAGCCTACATAATCAAACAGACCAGCCAGGAAGGAATGGCAAAGCTCAGTGAAACGGCCAGAAACTTTAAAAGTTGGGTATAGATATCGACAATTTTAAACAATAGTCGTAAAAATAGTTTAAAAAAATTCTGGTGACGACGATGGAACGATGTTGACGGTAAGCCGTAAAAGCGATCACCTCATCAGGACCCTAAGCTTACCTAGAATTGCTTTACAGTATTTTGTTTAGCACTTCTTCATTGGTGAATTCTCTTCCGATTTGGCATAGCGTAACTCAATAGTTCTTAAAAGGCAGCATAGCATTCAAATCAAGGGCACTTAGACAGAGAAGGTGACATTTTTATCATTCGCTACCACTCTGGTTTTCCTTATCCTAAACTCACCACTTAAACTTTATATTTGGTTCCCTTGTCCGTGTGATTTTATGCATCTTTTTTNTTTTTTTTTTCTTGAATAAGTGTTCAGGAACTAAATTAACGGTGGTCTTAGGCTGAAAAAAAAACAAAAAAAAAAAAACATTGAATTTACATACCAATGAATATTGTCCTCATGTGATCAAAATAAACCACTCATAGAGGAGATGAAAAGCCAAACGATTTCAGTAATTAAACCCGAAAACTAAATGCGAAAAAAATACTAAAATTATTGGGAATGGCTATGGTATTTCTCCTGGCTGAGAGAGTAAAATTGATATTTGAAACACGCTAATTAGGCCGTGTACCTGAGCAGATTTCTTTAGTCAGTAAGGAAAGAGTTGATAGCTGAGAATTTTTATGAACTGAAAGTTACGCCTATTGTTTGTTTTTGTGACGATTAAACGCATTTTTTCATCTTAAGCCTTATCACCTTATCATATATTACAATTGTTTTTCGCGAATAGATTCATGAATAGAGTCAACTTTTCGTGCCATGAAAGGCCCTAAAATAATAAACCAAGTAAGATATGGTTGCTTCTAGCCCTTGGAAGTTCTCTTCTCGTGTTTAATTCGATATCACTCGTTCTAGGGCCATGCTGTTATCCAATACCTAAGTTGTTTGTTTGTTTACTTTGTTTTGTTTATAATGCTTTTGTTTTTGTTCAGTTATACCATTGATTTTTTCTCTTAGATCCATATTCTAAAGAGTTGTGCACATATCATTGACCTTAGTACGGTAAACTCTTAGACTCTGCAAATTATTCATTCGTCTCCATACGAGGAAAGGAACTTTATGACGTCTCAAGTGTCGAAGTACTTTCAAGGGCTTAATATAAAATATTTGCTCCCCAAATACTTTACTTTGAGAGTGAAGACGTACTTTTACCTCTTTCAAAGTAACATCCATTTGACCCTTCGCATATGTATCCTGCTATTCCCATTTTTGCCTTACAGCCTATATTATTGTACAGCCCATAATGTTCATTATAATCTTTTTACATTTGTGCGCAGTTCTCGGGTTCCGAGTCATTGCTGGGTTCGCCTCCTGCCCATGGCCAATTTCCACGAGACGTGCTCACGGTGCTGTTATCACTGACCCATAGCCACTTTCTGGATGATTTATGTTGCCTCAAACCGATAAAGTACTCAGTGGTTTGCAGCTTTTGAATGGCTTTTTTTAAAAATTCCCATTCATCGTGAGTCTCAATAGAAACAAGATCGCATCCGGCCACTCTGCACCTTTGTCTACTTTGAATCCAAGAGTAACGTACTGTTGTATTGCTTTGATAAAAAGCATAACTGGAGCCATTCCTCTTCAGGTGATCTAAATGTAAAACTCGACATAATCATACATTTAACACAAAGGAGAGTAATTTTCAATTACCGTAAATGCTCGAATATTTAATTCTTTAAGGCGACCGGGGGCGCTAATTCTAAAAGGGGAGGGACGCTTATTTGAAGGGGGGCACTTCTTTCGTTTATGACGCCATTTTTATAACTATTTACAACCAAACTGCAACACAAAAATTTAAAAACCTTATAGAAAAGTATTTTTTGCGAACTGGAAACGTTCTTAATACTTTTTCATCAAAAAATGTATTTTGTTTCTGCAATAGAACAATTCTAACAAAATTATGCGTTTGCTATTGTGAAATGTTTTGTCTAAAAAGAAAAGCCTACGGTTGATATCTAGTTGTCTTCAATAAAACACACAATAAAAACACGTTGTTAATGTTAAAATATCGTGTCTCTCCTAAGCATTTAGATCCTTAATCAGCTTGAATTTCTGTATCGCTGTCCTCAAGTAATGTTGTCATAGGAGCTGCATCTTCGACATCCGATAGCGTCATGTCCTGAAATGGGTCATTCTCCATTGTTTGCTGAAGTTTTTGTTGAACTGCCTTCAGTTGTGCCAGGCTAGAATAGCAAGGTTGACTTGGCTTTAAGCAGTGTATCAGCTCATCTTCAGAACCGTCGACAGCAAGTGTCAATGCACAGCTCTTGAAATAATTTACAATAATTTCCTTATCCAAATCATCCCATGCTTCAAGGATCCACTGAACAATCTCTCGCCGAGGAGGAGCGCGCATGTTCCCTGCTGCAGTAAACGCGTGCTGACCATTTGCCATCCACTCGTCATATTTTTCAGTCACTTTGGCTTTGAATGGTTTGTTCCATGAAACATCGGGTGCTTGAACATATTCAGAATATCCCCCGGGTACAATTACAGGATCTATCTTGGTGCGATCGAGCTCTTGTTTAACGCTGTCTAAAACGTGGCATCTAAACGAATTCCAAACCAGCATCCGTCTCGTAAACGAAAACTGGGCTAAGACACCTTTAACCCAAGAAACGGTCAGTTCTTCGTTCATCCATCCATTAATCGGAGACGCTACGACGCACTTTGCTTTAAATTCATCATCAGTGCTTTTGACTCTCTCTTGGCACCGGGAAAAACGATGAACGGCTTCAGTTTGGTACCGTCTCCCTTTGCAGCCAAACACACTCAAACCTTTGTTTTTTCATGGCCAGTTGTTTTCAATCGAATCGTGCTTTCGCCAATGTTGTCGACTATGGTATTAGATACCATATCCTGCCATACTGCTGTATCGTCCATGGCAATGATATCTTAGTCGTGGTAAGCAATTTTCTCCCGTTTCCGGCGAATCTGCAAAATATAGTGCATTAGTTTATCCATCAGTTTATCCGGGTCCTTCTGTGATTCAGTTGTTTTGCGCCTGATTGCCAAGCCATGTCTTCACATGAACCATTTTGCTTTGTTTGCGATCATTTTTCTTGAAACACGAAGGCCATTGGAACGGCGCTAATGCACCCACTACAATAATGATTCCATTGTTTCTTCATCGAATGGCTTTCGTCCTGCTCCCTCGAGCCGCTTTCTCGTGCTGCTAGCAGCTACCAGTTTGCTTTTATTTTGTCGCCACGCTCTTGTTCTATTGCGATCGAGATCAAACTTTGCTGCAGCTTTTCGGTTACTGTTACAACCTTCTGCAAATCGAAAAGCCTTGAACTTAAACTCGCGAGAATAAGAAGAGTTCCTCAGTCAACCCTGCATGAGAAGTGGATGCCAGATTTATAATTGCTTCCTTTATGTCAATTTCAGAACTGCTGGAAATGGTCACGACACAAGACCAAGCATGCGGTATTTCGAGAAGACCGGAAAAGACCACCCATGAGAAGAGCTCACATTCTCTCACGTACCAAACACGTGCGCGACTTTCGTTCGCTGTTTGAAACATGGCGCGCGCAAGCTATACCTTTACTTGACAGATGGTTTACGAAATAGAATTTGCGTCTGTGATAAGGAGGCATCATGTTTATAAAACAGAGTGGTCAGCAAAGCTTAGAGAAGGGCGTGTCGGAAAGACAGACGAAAGGAGGCTAAAGAGCATGATGAATATGCTGTTGGAACATTCATTCAAGAGAGTAGCAAGCTGGTTGGACATGTACCCATTGAGCTTTCCTTCCTCGTGTTTACATTTGTACGACCTTACGAGGATAATCAGCTGGTAGTTGAAGTCACTGGAAGCAGGAAACTTGAAAATGGCCTCGTAATTCCAGAAACTACTGAGGTAGTAACAAGAAGCCGGCGATTGGGAGCAAAGTTTTACGAGGAACTTAATAAAGTGAAGCAGCTCTGTGCTCACATTGGATATTTCTATCAAGTAAACGAGAAGCAAACTCGTACGACTTTGAAGGGAAATTACTGTTTATATTATTTAACAATGTCACATTTCATTAAAAGAACCGTATAGACCGCGTACGTCTCGTATATCGTACCGAGTACCGAAGCTCATTTTTTCTCGGAGAATGGGAGGGGGGGCGCTTATTTGAAGGGGGGCGCTTATTACAAATTTTGAACCTTAGGAGGAGCGCTAATTCGAAGTGGGGCACTTATTTGAAGCTGGACGCTAATTCGAGCATTTACGGTATTTATATTTGTTTCTTTGTTTATCGTAAGTTGTTAGCGAGACGGAAAAGTTTCGAAGAGGCGGTTTCAATCTTAAGCGGACCTAATTTATGCAGAAGGAAGAGCTGGGGAATGGTGAACATATTTCAACCTCTTTCAAATCTAAAAGTTAGATTATCTAAAACTTTCTCTAATCTTCCTAATTTACTTGGTTTTCACTTGAATAAGCAAACAGTTTAATATAATACTATATATAGTGTATAACGTAAAAGGTCAGTAAATTGTTTAAATCTATCAATTTTCTTTTTCCAACATGTCTGGGTTGCGTTATATATTGCACGTCATGTTCAATTTTATCGTGACGTCAGTTGGTCACGCTAAACAGTAATTAGCCATTTTCAAAACGAGCGGCGGTCTGGGTACGATTTGCCACCATAAAGGCTCTTGGGATCGTTTGGAGGGACAGCGTGAAGGTAAACAAACGCACAGCTGACGTGTGACAAACATGGCACACTATAACTGCTGTATTCCAGGCTGCACTAATAGTTACAGAAATGCACCTAACCTTCAGTATTATAGAATTCCAAAAGACCCTCATATACGTAGAAAGTACGTGGTTCTTATGAGGAACGAGACTCTGAAATTAGATTCTACGAGTACGCGGATTTGCTCAGTTCATTTCGATGGAGGAGAAAAACTTAGCAGAACGCACTTGCCTTCAATTTTTCCATGGACAAAACCGACAGCTCAACGTAGAGAACGCAAGAGGGCCAGTTTCGAAGATGTACAGAAAATAGAGCAAACCAAAAAAAGAAAAACAGCACTTGCTCAATTACCACAGGAAGCGAACTTTAAATTTGAAGAACAGACAGAAAATATGAATGTTAATGCTGACACCAGTACCAGTGTGGAAATGCAAACGTTACTTACTGGAGACCAACTAAACAGTTTATACAACAGAATGCAAACAAGAGAACAAGAAATTGTTAAGCTTAAGGGAGAGATTCAGCAGTTGGAGAAAGAAAACAACAACATAAAAGAGGTGAACAGCAAATTACAAAAGGAAATCGAAAGCTTGAAGCATGCTTTAGATAACAATAGATTTGACATAAGCAAATTTAAAGATAAAGATGATGATATTGCATTCTACACCGGCTTTCCCGATTACAATGCTTTTATTCTTTGTTACAAAACTGTAGAACAAGCCTCTAGCAATATTAATTATGGGCACAAAAGGACCACCACGAACGGTAATGTTGGGAGACCCAGAGTACTTACTAAATTCCAGGAGTTTACCCTTGTTATGCTGCGCTTGAGGCTGGGTTTGTTTGAGAATGATCTTGCTCATCGATTTTTGGTTTCAAGATCAACTGTCTCTAAGATTGTAAATGCCTGGATTCCATTTTTGAGGAGGGAATTTGAACCTCTTATCATCATCCCCCCAAGAGAAGTACTTCAATGTTATAGGCCTGACAGTTTTAAGAAACTGTTGCCTAACGTAACAGTCATTGTCGATTGCACGGAATTTGAAATGGAGAGGCCATCTGCTCTTGATTCACAGTCTACCTGTTTTTCATCATACAAGTCAAGAACCACCATGAAATCACTGTTGGGCATAACGCCAAGCGGTGTTTTATGTTTTGTGAGTGACTTATTTCCTGGTTCAACCTCAGATAAGGAAATAACTGTTCTTAGTGGTTTTCTAGACAGACTAAATCCTGGTGACCAGGTACTGGCTGACAAAGGGTTCAATTGTCAGGATGAATTAGCTTCTGTTGGTGCAAGCCTTGTTATACCAAAATTTTTAGAACAGAAGATACAGTTTTCCACAAATGAAACAAATCACAACAAGGTGGTTGCTAGCCTAAGAGTTCATGTGGAGCGGCTCATGGAACGTATAAAGAACTGGCACATCTTCGACCATAAGATACCAATTACTATTGCACCTATTGCATCAGACATGCTTGTAGTGGTCTGTGCTTTGTCAAATTTTCAACCCCCTCTTATAAATTAAAAATTATCATGTAATATTGTTAACTGTCATGACACATGTTGATGATGAAACACGAAAACATTCATATTGCAATAACTTTCATTAAATGGTGTAATGAAATAAATTTTGTTTGGACCAAACAATAATATTGGTATTGAAATTGGAGTCAAATGAGTGATTCAAATTCAGCTTACTTTGGGGAGCAGCTACATCACACAATGATAGTAGGTTGGGTCATTTGCATTTTAGGTTTAGCATTGCAAATGCTTTGACTACACATTTAAATCTAGGTTTGCCAAAACATGCAGCGTATAGTATAATGATATTATTCAACATTGGACATGTTAAGAAATACAACTTCAGTTATAAGTTTTCTAGTAGATGAAAAAGAATAAAACTCTTAAAACAAAAAGCTCTCAAAACATGCGCGCATCAATTTTGGGGAGCCCATATTTCACACAAGGATATGAAAGTTCTGGTACAATCCAGCAGTTAAAAAATGATTCAAGTTTTGGGAATATTCTATCCCAGTGTTCTTGTGAGAAATAAACTCTCTCACAAAAAGGTGTGGAAGAGGCTGTTCCCATAACCACAAAGTCAGTCCATTTTTGCTCTGCCACAAACATTGCCTGTTGTACTTGAAAATAATATTTGTGTCTTGAGTTCAAAATCACAGATTCCTCAAACTTCTTGCAAATTCCTTTTCGGAGCAGAGCCTCCTCCAGACTTTCTTGCTTTTCCATCTGAATATATTTCACTTCAAGAAGACCCTTACTGTCTTCTGCAGAAGGGTCACACACTAATCCGTCTGGACTTGCTCCGAGTAACCCATGATGCTTGGAAATGAAAAAGCCACATTTTTCTACGGATATATCAGTAACCCCTTCCCCCTGCTTTAATAATTTGTAAGCAGCTATGATCCTGTCCTCCATTTCAAGTCCTTCTTGCATGTATTTACTCTGAAATGGTTTTTTGTAACCAAGGACATCTTGGATGATTTTTGTTGGTGATGTTGTTTCCCTTTGCACAGCTATTCTGTAACAATTTGTAGCAGTAATCCTGGGCTGCCTGTGATGATGCCACAAATTTGAGTTTGACTGCCCTCGTGTTTGCTCTTCTACTTTCTTTATTTTTTCTTCATCAAAATTAATGTTCCTCTTCACTTTCTCAAATCTCACTCTTAGTTCATCAGCTGATATTGGATGACATTTGATGGGTGAGATGAGTGGCTCTTCCAGATTATTTACCTTTTGAGGAAGAATATGTGTCCATCCAACAGCTCTCCCAGATTTCATTTGATATTCTTTTAAAGATTTATGGAAGTTTTGTAATCTTTCACTTGGCCAGACTTTTTTTTCTGATACACAGGTACCATTCTGTGCTGGACATGAGGCTAGCTTTGGCCTTTTTGCTTTCTTTTCTTTAGCATAATCATGTTTGACAAAGCTCATCTCAGAGATAGGTGTCACTGGACCCTTGCGTTTCCCTGGCACATTCCATTTACAAGGCTTAGATGTGCAGGACTCAGCTGCATCCGAATTTTTCCTTTTCGTCTCCTTAAAGCTTTGTTCAAGGGCAAACAATGTAGATGCCACATGGTTACAACGGCCATCAATACCAGCAGGACACTTACAGTGTGCTTTTAACACACAACCTATGGATGACATTAACAGAAAACAAGAGTATACTTTATCTTTTTTCATCGATGGCAGAACTTGGCTTTTTACATAATGTTTTCCATTTTGGTGCAGATGTCCAATGTATAAAACATGCCCTGACTTGAAGAAGTTAAATCCCTTGACTAGGGGCTTTGCAGTGGAAAGTTGTTTTTTACTTTCAACTCCTTCAATCATAAACTGCCAAACGGTTCCAAAAGCTATCTTAGGCAAATCTTTAAAATCAGGTTTGTATCCTTCTTTTGGAAAGAATTGGTTGAGCTGCGGCTCTTCCTCCTCCAGCACTCCAAGTTGAGCCTTCTTGCGGAGAAGGTGTAGTCCACCGTCTGGATCACGGAGATATTTAACGTCTAGTCCATGCTTAATGTAATCTTGAACTCTGAAAAATATGAACATGATATATGACTGGAATGAAACAAAATAAAACGACACAATTTCTCCTTCGATATAATTTAAGCTCATATGTACACCACTAAATGAAAATATACACCTCGAGTGAACCTACCTTGTTATCAATGCTTTCTTATTTCCCGTAGTCTTTGCTCCCCTGCACAGCAACCACCTTTTCAATTGAACGACGCTACATTGTTCTACAGTTTCGCGAGGAATTTTTGCACCAGGTATATCTTCTTCTGTCAGAATAACCTTGAGAGCGTCTCGCACGGTTGCATTGCTCTTGTCCACCATGTTCTTGCTGTCCCTCCAAACGATCCCAAGAGCCTCTAGGGTGGCAAATCGTACCCAGACCGCCGCTCGTTTTGAAAATGGCTAATTGGTTTATTATAT